TGTCGCGTCGCATCCAGTGTACACAGTGTCACTGGTTATAATGGTTTCTACTGTATTTTGCCGCTCGCGTCCGGTGTAGACACGCGTTTAATTTATTTGGTGAAGGAGGAAAGCCTGTGTGTGTCCTATGCCTTTGCGGACAGCATGAAACCCACAAAAAATAAATAAATAACAGCGAGAGAATAATAATAATAACAGTTATTCTCTCTATGCTATTTTCAATGTTTCAAGTGATGCATGTGTTTTTTCCCTGTAGGTTTTTTTAATTAAAAAAGAATTAATTTTTCATAATGTTTAGGGGGTGGGCAGATTTTTTTTTTTATAGGTTTAAAGGGGGGCTTGACCAAAAAAGTTTGAGAACCACTGGTTTAAAGTTAACAGACAGTGTTTAAAAAGTGCAGTGCACATGTTTACATATGTTTATTACATGGACTTTGAATTGCCTAAAGTAGTGTGGTAAAGCAACAGACTTGTTTTTATATTTCTGCAATCTGCTTTCGTTTGTGTGATTTGTTACTGACTTTCATATTAATGTTTACACCAGGCTTATTTAAACATAATTATCATGCTTACAATGTTGGAAGTTCAACAAATCAGTCAATGTACTGTGATTGTAGTTGTTAAATAAAAATGTCATTCATATCAATTCATGCATCACCTAATTTCATCGTAACATATAGGCCAGGCCAACAGAAAAGAACATTTATGTTTAATCTATGTAATATTGTGTTGGTCATACTATACAATGATTTATAGCTTGTCTTTGTTGAATAATACAGAACATAAAGAGCCTTAAAAAATAATAGCATATTAAATCGCAATCGCAATTACATTATTTTCCAAAATCGTTTAGCCCTAGTGTGTGTGTGTGTGTGTGTGTGTGCACAAGAATGTGATTAAAGGTCTGCAGTTGAGTGGATTGCAAAAAAAGAAAGCAAAAAAACTCGCAAAATTTTGTTCAGTTTCAGCCACTATAGGGAGTATGCAAATATGGAAACGAAGATGTTTTGTCTATCCTTTGATTGTTGAATGTTATAAATATTTTATGGACTTGTGAATGTATGTTAGCCATGTGTACCTGTCATCTTGCAAATTGACTTCCCAAGGTATTTGGATTCCGTTTTTGTTGCTTGTCTTGTGAATCCAAATAAAAGAATAAAATGTGTGTGTGTGAGTGAGTGAGTGGTTGAGATCTCAGTTTGAGCTTGTGGAGATTCGGTCATCTCACATGAGAAGTGTTGCTAGGAGACCGATCACATCCCACCTGTGTGTGTGTGTGAGTGTGTGTGTGTGTGTGTGTGTGAGTGTGAGTGTGAGTGTGTGTGTGTGTGTGTCATAATCCAGCTGCTGCGTGTCATCTTGCTGAACTCCACTGTCACACTCATCATGTCACTGCTAGTTAGGGGACTGATTTAACCGGCTGATGTTGATCCTGACAGCACAAAAGCTCTGTTCACCAAGGCTGCATTTATTTGATCAAAAAGAAATTGTACAGCGATATTGTGAAATATTATTAGAGTTTAAAACAGCTGTTTTCAATGTGGATCTCTGTTAAACTGTAATTTATTTCTGTGATGTGCAGCTGAATTTTCAGCATCATTACTCCAGTCTTCAGTGTCACATGATCTTCAGAAATCATTCTAATATGCTGATTTGCTGCTCAAGAAACATTTCTCTATGTTTATATTATCAATGTTGAAAACAGTTGTGCTGCACAATATTTTTGTGGAAACCGTGATACATTTTATTTTTCAGGATTTACAGATGAATAGAAAGTTTAGAAGAACAGCACTTATTTGAAATAGAAATCTAATATAACATTATAAATGTCTTTACTGCTACTTTTGACCAATTTAATGCATCCTTGAGCAATAAAATTAATTATTTCTATTATATTGCGGTTTCCACAAAATGTTAAAAACATGAATAAATCTTAATTATGCTTTTGACCAGTAATGTACAGGATGTAGTTTACTGATTTAAATGAGTCTAAACTGGATCTTTGTTCATGAGAATCTGCAGCTGCCGTTTCCGTTTCAGGATGATTCTGATATCTGTGGTTTTGATGAAGGAAATGTAGCTTAATGTATGTTTGTGTGATTTTGTTCCTCAGGGAATGTCTGAAGATCTCCTGTAGTTCAAGATCGCCGCGGCCGTCCAGCCCAGAGCCATGAGCCACACGTCCTGCTGCGTCCTGCTGAGCGTCTCGCTCGCGCTCTCCTGCCGCCGTGAGTATCAGCGACCTCTATCAGTCCATCAGTCACGATCACAGCCAGACTGTATCTGAGCAAACTTCAGCTTCAGTCACTGTGATCACAAACACAAAAGTAAACGATTATTGTGCCACTTCTGATTTACAGTGATTCTTTATTGAATTTATTTTTAGTTGTTTTTCAGTTGAATTATATTTAAAGTTCAATGAAATCCACTGTTAAAATTTCTAAAAGTTTTTTTTAAAGGGGTGGTTCATTACGATTTCACTATTTTTACGTTAGTTAGTGTGTAATGTTGCTGTTTGAGCATAAACAATATCTGCAAAGTTACAAAGCTGAAAGTTCAATGCAAACGGAGATAACTGGCAGTTTAATGCCTACAAAAATGGCTGGTAGGGACTACGACTAGTTACTTCCCGGGTTCGTGACGTCACAAACCCAGATAAACCCCGCCCTCGGGAAAGGCAGCAAAGGGGGCGGGGCCATGCTGCGCTGCTTTAGAGAAGAGGAAGAGAAAACTAGAGGTGCACGTAAAAAATTTCTCATTCAGCTCAGCTCCAAAAATGAACTGTTACAATTATACACTTATTTTCACATAGCTATGAGAAGCATTAAACATGGACGTGCGTGCAGTTGCCATACTGTATTAAAGCTTTAATCAGGATAAAACCGTATATTAAAAGCTAACATAAGCAGTAGCATTTACAACAGTGTATCTAAAAGTATGAGACAACAACAAACAAAAACATAGGCCTACCATTAAAAGCCGTGCTTGCACAGGTTCTGCACGATCCTCTTCAATAATATCCTCTGCTTCTCAATCGGGCTCAAACTGATAAGCGATATTAACATGCAGTTGTTTAAATACAACCGGAGCACATGCCGCTGAGGTGACGCGTGCTAGAGGCGGTTTAGCCAATCACAACACACTGGGCTAGCTAACCAATCAGAGCCCATCACCTATTTCTGAGAGAGGGGCTTCATAAAAGAAGGAAATGAT